CGACCTCCGTGCATGCCTGTGCATTTACTGGCATTGGTGATAAAAATTGAAGGGCGGGAGGGATTTGAGTGATTAGCGGTTGTTACTGGGCGAATCCAGAGGTCCTTTTCTTTCAGGATCTGCTTCGTCCCCACCAAGTAGGTCTGCAGTACTTCTGCTTCCTGAGGGGTTGCTTCGTTCCCACAGCCTTCATCATGCGGACAAGCTCCTGATGATCGTCCTGTATCTTCCGATCAAGCCACATTGCATCCCTCTTCAACTGTCTGATGCACGCATCCACTTGACCTTCAGGGGACGTGAAGTTGATCTGCGGCTCTTTGTTGAGAATCTGCCTGCGTATTGAGTCCAATGCCCCAATCTGCAACACTGGATCGGGCAGTGTGACTCCCAACTCCATTGCCCTCGCCACATTTCGGGACCAGAGGCGAAGCTTCTCGACCCCATTTGCTGGTGACACCGCAGTTTCTGGTGCCGTCAGTGCCCGGAGTAGGCCAGACTTCTCACCCAGTCCTCCTGGCTGAAACCTTTCCATGACTTCGAGCATAATGGAGGCCGCTGTCAGCTTCCGGTTCGCAATGATGTCTGACTTGATTGATGAAGGCAGTGCAGCCAGTAACATGCTCGTTACACGACCCTCAAGCCTTGTTGCATTTGGCTTCACCTGCACATCGACTTCCAGGCGGGTCAATGCATCGGATGACAGCCATACTTTGTAGACTGCGTTGACCTCATTCATGAGTTGCGTCCACCAGCGTGCTGCCCCACCGGAGACATCCCCAATCAGCGGCTCAACCTCCGTGATCCCATCTCCGCACCTGAGAGCCGCCTGAGGTGTGCTTTCATCCGGTAGCTTAGGAAGAGTCACATTGATCGCCCTCAGGCCGTCCTTTGGCTCATCCTTCGCTCTGGATTACTTGAACCCCACTCAAAATTGGCTCCTCCCCCGTCAGGCTTCTTCATCTCGACCGACACAGGTGGAGGTGGTGGAACATAGTCATGGCCTGGTTGCTGTCCATCTACATGCATCCACAGCCCCTCTGACTGCTGCCACACTGGTGCCCCATGTCCACCATGCTTGGTTTCATGGGTCTACATTCTGCTTTTCAGCTCTTGTAGTTCTCGCTCAAGCCACTGAAGACGAGCAACTTGAAATCGGCCTGGACCATTACCTGGTGCACCTACACCATTCATTGCAGTCCACTTGCCGCTCTCCAACTCCCGTTAGAGCCGAGTCTTTGTGGGCCTTTCTCCATATCCTCACCAGCACTGATTGCACAGCCGCCGTCATCCATGGACTTTTCTTTTACATTCTCCTGGTCCACGTCAAGACTCAGCAGATCCAGAAGATCGTGGGCATCGGGAATCATCTCCTCCGACTCACCAACTCCGCTCACACCTGAGCCACCCTCAGGAACCAGTGGAAGGTCCTCTGGTGTTGCTCGTTCTAGTGTGAACCGCTCCTGGAGTTCTCGCGACCAAAACGGGTTTGCCATGGCAGCCAACAACCAGTCCACACACACTGTGGATCTGGGTGGTCTTCAAAAACCGTTGGGTTCATAACTTGCAAACACAGGCAGAGCTGCGCACGTCTTTTCCTTGTGCAAAAAGGGCCTTCGGTAAGCGACATGATTTCACGTCTAGTTCTGTTCGCAAAATGTGAGTGCTATCGTTACAAAAACAACAGGATGATGAGAATGATGTCGACCATGGACCAGAAGATATTGGATGTTGCCCAAAAAGAAATTAGATAGTAACAGCATAAAAAACACATAAATACGTATATATTTATATATAACAAAACTATTTTTGTGGGGCAGCTGGGGTTGATTAATAGGGGAAGGTTTCTGGCCAGGAATTAGTTTAGTTGGGGGATGTCAAGGTGGACATCCAGGTTTTAAATTAGTTTAGTTTTGGGGGGGTCGAGCAGGGATTGATTAATAGGGGGTGGTTACGTAATCTTGTGTGCGCATTACCCTGATGCATGCCGGCGTGCAAATGCCAACCTGCATGAACTCATGACCCAGCCCTTGTGGCGTCATACTCAGTTACTCAGTGAGTAGCCAATCCCTCATCTTGGCCTTCCTCATGTGCACCGGAAGGCTCATCGTCCCACCTCATCAAAACCCATCCCTCAAACCGACCAGCCTTTGAATCCAGTGCCTCCACCTATCCTGCACTTGGTCACCTCTTTCATCCATCCTCCTGGCTGGCTGAGTGTGGCAGGCCTCATGCTCTTCAGAGATGGCCATGGGCCATGAACTTTTCATCCAGCGCCTACCCTCCTCATCAAGCTGCCTCATGAACATTTTCCCATTGTGTGCCATCACCAAAACCTCGTGGGTCCTATCAGCACCCATCAGTCCTTTCCTATCGGCCATCGACCCCATCATTCTTACGAACCTTCATGGTCATTTCGACAAACCCTCATGGCCTTCCCAACCACCCCAAGCTCCTTGTTTCGTTCACCGCCCTGGCCTCAAGGTGTTCCCTCTCCCAGTTAGTTGGCTCGTGAACTTATGAATTGGGGTGTGGCCGTGCATTGCATGTCGTCTAGTCTAGTTTTGATGCTCCAGAATCTCCGGGGCCCGGATCTGGTTGTTTGTAAAGGTGTTGTGTTAGACCATGTGACCGTGACCACAGTTTAGGCCTCGAGATTTGCACCGGTTCGGCGGGGAAAAAGGCATATTACAACCCACAATCTTTCAACTGTTTCTTATCGAAAAAGAAATCGAACAGGCTAAATTGCACGACTTTGCGGTTTTTTTGATGCTGGTTAGTTTTTGACTGCTTATAACATTTTAAGACATGACTGACACAACACAGGCAAGGTATGCTATAGTCAATGCTAGCCGTGTTGGTTGTGTGTGATGTGCATAGGCCACTTGAACTTCTACAATTTGGTATGACCACCAGGTTTGAGCACGCCGCAGCGTGAAGCTCTTTTGTTTTTTGTTGGCGTGCGCCACCTTGCAATGATAGCCCACCCAGTCATTCAGGAGGCTACTGTATATAGACTGGCTGATCACCTTGCTAAGCACCCAATGCCAAGCAGCTAGTGCCAAACACCCAACTTCTACTACCACATTTGCAGAACATTTTGGAGGTACTCCGTGGTAATCTTCCGGCGGTGTTGGCCAAAGCCATTCCACTTGGCATGCCATGGAGACCACAGTGGAGCCTCCTCGCCGACGAATGTCCTCGGACCTTCGCAGCATCAGCTCGCCCTCAGCAGGCATACAGTGCTACCGTATCATTCGTTTGACCGCAGGCCCCCTTTTGTTTTCCTGACTGGTGAGCAGCATCGCTTGCAGCAACAGTTTGGTGCGGGAACCCTGTGGCAGGCGAAACCTGTGAAGCGCAGGCAGGGGTTCAAGTTGGGCAGTCGCGGGCACGCTATTGTAGTGTTTTCCGGGAGGGGTTCGTTGTGTTTTGAGAAATATAACTGCATGGAAGAGGAATGGCACCAGCACGGTCTTCAATCATGTACTGTACGGCATTTGGTAAGTGACCGGTAAGTGTAATTACTAAACATGAACAAGGAACTTAAATCTCTAACAGCCTAGAAATGGACAACGCTCGTGCAAGGAGTTCTCAAAGGAGACGTTTGCGCTCTTTGGCGACGAGATTGTTGGTGCAAAATGTGAGCCAAGGGAAGGACTCAACTCATTCGGGCCGAGACATTGATTCAACAAGCGCCAGATTGGTGTGACAGCGCCTCATAAAGATTCATGAAAATCATGAACCATGCTGCAATGCTATGAGTAACTCCGAGTGCTGCTGCCTTGTGAGAACTTGTTTGCCTCGCAGGATTCCAGAATAAGGTGCATGAGCTTCTCCGTGATTTTGATGAGTCACTTGGCGCATTTGTGAATTCAACTTGCTTGGGCACTGGAAGGCATGATCTGACTTTGGTTCTTCCTGACAAACGTCAGGCTTCGCAGGCCGTCCTTGCGGAAGAATCTCTCTTGTCCATTCTCGGGGCGCCCGAGATCGAACCATGGCAAAAAAGGGGGAAAAAACAGAACCAAATGGCAGCTTTGAGGGGCGGGG